TGTGTAGTGTCAAAAGCAAAGATCTGAGCATGGATTCCATGACAGGGTTGTCAGTAACAGGTATGAAGGCAAGGAATGAGAGTTCTCCAGGCCATAATTTATATTGTGGGAAGCAGTCCAAAATAATTTTTTTTTGCCAGAGGATGTTTGCCAAGTGAATGAGAAGGAGACAGAGTTAGCCTCTTATCCCCTCTGTGAGAGAAAATGGGGGTGGAAAGGTTGCTGTGGGTTGCACAGTATACATGTCATGGAGTGGAACTCAGGAATCCATTCCAGTCCACAGCTAACCCTGTCCCCTACTTCAATCTTATGTTGTTATTTATAAATAAATAAAAAGTGTTGCACTAATTCATAAGGATTCAAAATTCATACATTAAAGAAAATAAATACAATTTAAAAAGTCCCACAATTAATCTTGTGAAAATAATTTAAAGTAGAAAATTCTCACAATTAATCTTGTGAATGTCTACAATATGTAAACACCATCAAATATTCCACCAACAAGACTCTTAGAAAAGGTTCTAGGACAGATTCGAAGCCTCCACCAATGGTAGCAAAATACAGGCTTACCAAGAAAAAATGACCACCTAAAGATAAGTCATAAATGGCATATACAATGGTATTCCACATTAGCTATTTCTTTCCCACTTCTTCTCCAGATTCATAGATAACCCAGTTCAAGAAAGGTCCCATCTAGCAACCTGCCACATTGACTCAATTCTTAGCTATGATAGATGCATTAGTTTTCTTTTTTAGTCTTCCTTTCTTTTATTCTTATCTAGTGATCCAGTCAGTAAGTCTGTTGTTTTTTCAACAGAACAAGCTTTCTATGCTCAACCTGAGTAGAGTTATACCAATACCTGAACACATGAAGAACAGAGTGCCCTATGACTGAAGGTTTATTAGAATATATACGAAGGAGAAAAGAGCTGTCTACTTAATCAAACCACACCAAAGCTCCCCTTTATATATGATTTAGTGCCTGATAGCACAAAATCCATGACAGGTACGGAGATAGCATAAGAGTATGTATATGCCCACAGTATGCCGATAAATAGATGGACAGTAAATACCTAAACATGAGGATAAAGAGAAGAATAAAGAAAGGAAGAGTTCTAAACCAGGTGTGCAAGACTCTTTAAGCATGTATCCCCAAAGGTTAAAAGAAAAGTCAGATCAATCAATCAGACTAACCAGATAAAGCAAAACAAATGTAGCCACAAGTAAAGAGAAAATATATTATGTACTTGAAAAGTTGTGGCAGTGCAGGCCAAATGCTATTCCCTAGGGAGGGCACCACTGCTGTATTCCCAGCACCACAGTAGACCCCTATAAAGTGTGTCCCTTGCGGAGATGCCCACATTGGTCTCTGTGACTGACTGGTGATGTCATCTGGCATGGCCGCTTATGACTTTGCAGGAGCCATGATGGAAAAAATGTGCACGTAGGCAACATCAGAGGTGTGGTCACCAATGGTAAGGGAAGAAATCCGCATAGTAAATGCAGGCAAGAGGAGGGAGCCACCCTAAAACACACCAACACAGCTCCACACTCACTTAAAGAGCCGTATGCTCGCTCCAGAGCAGATGGAAAGAAGAAAAAATAAAATGTTTTCCAGCACCCTAAGAAGCCAGGCAAGTTGTATTTTCTGTATTACTGTCAGGACAGGTTTTTTTTAAACAGGAAAAAAAGGTAAAACAGTGCCAAAAATATTTTTTGCTTACAGTATAAGAATTAATGTACCAGGCTTTTTATAAATGTACCCAGGCATTCTGATTTCTATGATTATGCAACTGCAAGGCAGAATAATTAATAATACAACATCATTCAACTAGTTTTTCTATCACTTTTTCTGTTACAAAACAAAGACATACTGTAATAAAATGAACCAGTAATACTAAGAAAATATAACTGCCAAAGAAACCTCATTTAAGACAAATTTTTTTATTAAAATCACATTTCATTCAGAACTCCCCTACTGCTTTCGCCAAATGATCCTTGTCAGAAAATGAGTTATAAATGGCTCCACGGGAGACAATGTTGGACAGTAGAGAGAAACAAAACAAAGCGGGGAGCACAACAGCTTATAGCAAATTTTATTGAGTATTTTGTTGCTGCCAAGGATTTTTAATATACTTTATTACTACTACTTATAATTTTCCAAAGGAACCTTTCAAAAGGGCCTGGTTGATTTTAATCCCTTCATTGCTGGATTAATCTCAGTGTTAAAAGATTTTGAGAAGAGCACTGCATGTGGGATTTATAGAAGAGCATTGTATGTGGGGGAGCCCCAGGAAGTCTATACAGCTGAAATAGTTGATGTTTGCATCAATATATTTATAAATTTAAATATAAATGTACTTATTAATTTCATTATCATTAATGTAATTCATTATTAACAGAATATAAGTAAAGCATATGCCTTAGATTTACATTTTGTGCAATGAACTACTTTTTTAACACTTTTATGACATGAGATCACTGGGGCTTAGATGCCCAGGTAAAATTTAACAACAGCTTGTGTTGGTTAACCTAACAATATGGCTAGTTTGAATAACTACATTTTTACAAATATTTTTATGGATATATTAAATTTTTATTTAGTACACTGTTTTAAAGAAAAAACCCTGCTCTGTTTTTATTTGAAGCAAAAATGTGTTATTATTAACATATAAGTCTATTTAATAAATACATAAAAACATGCTGGGAATGCTCTAGAGGGGGATAAGGAGCTTTGGGAATACAATTTTAGCATCAGGGATTTTAGTTATACATGGAGATCAGCATTACATTATTCAAGATATAAGCCTTAAAATATATTAGGGGGCTGCATGCACGTGGCTGAACATGGAAAACATTGAAGAGTTCAGCTCCACTCCACGATGGCTGATTTGTGCTGAGCACAGTTGATGCAGGACCCATATCACTTTGCTTTCCACCAGGACTGACTCATATACCACCCGATCACATTGTCATGACAAAAAGGAAGCATATAATGGTTACCAGCCAGTTACAGCTACTCGACAAAAAAAAAAAAAAAACTGCCACTCTTTGCAGTAAAATGGCCCTGGCTATAAAGACACAGCAGCAGCTGCTGACAGAGTTACAAACTCAGGACTTGAAGTAGCCACACTCCCTGCTGGTGGGTGAGCATAATATATCTCCTGCACATTCTGCTGGGTATTCCCTTGCAGACACTCTCTATAGTCCTCCTCTTCTTATTTAGACAAAGCATTGGGAGAGATAAGGTGAGATTTACAGGTTTTATTGTCAAAGCTTAACTGAACAAGCTGAAATTAGAAGTTGATTGGTTACCATGCATAGCTGCACCAGATTCTATGTGCACCACTTTTAGTAATTCTCCCCTACAGTGACAAGTGAAGGCAGCATGGAAATTAGTCCACTATTATTCCCTAATGCTCACTCAGACCCACCAATAGAATATTCTGGTGATCATATCATTCTAGCTAGATTTTTTCCACTTTTGGAGCCGATAGTACTTTTTGGGAAATAGAGAAGAACATGGACATTTTAGGCATTAACCTCCCTAGCAGTATGATTATGTCAATATTTCAGTGCTCAAACCGGTACATTTTTTTGCATGGAAATATATTGTTTTTTTATTGTAGGCCTGTAATTTTTAGGAATAACTCACTGAAATCTGTCCTAACAAAAGTCTAGTAAACATCCCGGGAATGATAAAATTCGAAACACAAAATCATAAATTATAATATAATAAATAATCATAAAAAATAATAATATAATAAAAAATTTAATTCAATAATATAATCAAACCAAAAACACTGAAATTTGAAATATAGCCCCAAGTGCAAAATAATTTTCAGTGTCTGATGACGAATTTCCCCATGAATCACTATCGCTCAATTCTGCAAGTGGTTCTGATTTACTATCGCTGTATTCTAGCTGGTCTAAAACTGCTTTTGACATAAAGGGACATTTTTTGGATGCCATGGACTTCTCAGTTTCAAGGCAGAAAGAACAGTAAAAATGCAGGCAGGGCACAGGACAAAGCAGTAGGGACAAAATGTATGTGAAATGCTTTGAAACAGTAATGTTTTACTATGTGATTTTAGTGTATTTCGTGAATGTCACTTTTAAAATTTTTAAATTTCCCGTTGGTTCTGGTCCCCGTACCTCCCGACGCTCGCAGGGACCGGAACCCGGAAGACGGATGCCAGCATCGGCTGGAGGAGATGGCTGGGGATGCTGCAGGAGACACATCGCAGGAGCGCAGGACAAGGTAACTGAAACTGAGAATCCCTGAGCAACGCTACAGGGTAGTCCCTTGTGTAGCTCAGGGTTAATGCTTTTTGGTACTGATAAATAACCCTGAGCTACACTCGGGAATACCGCCAGGGAGGTTAACTAGACAATTTTTTTTAAAATTCCAATTTTTAATGTTCCAAAACTCAAACCAACATAAAAACAAAATTGATATATTCCATTAAGATTGACAGACAAATAATAACACTGGTACTAAGCTTTTCTCATAGTATGCAGCTTCCTGCCCAAGGTAAGGATTTTACATCACCAAAAACATGCCATAAGTTGTCCTATGATCTGGGGAAGCTGCAGACTATAATACTAACTTCAGCTCAACATGTATAAAACAGTTATCACAATGATAATAAGACATAGATCTTCGCATTATCTTAGTGTTTATAGTGGTTAACTTCTAATGTACCAATGTGAGCAAACAACATAGGAGGAAAAGTCATGTCAGTGGTATGTCCTATTCTCAAATGGGGGGAGCACATCTTTCAGATAAAAGCCAAGGAGGTGTGAGCAGAGCAGGAGGGCTGGGGAGGTTTTCAAGTTTCAACAAAATAATACAACACTTGCGTATTCAAAGTCAACTACAATTCTATCATTGTATATAGGGCACACATATACACTACACATGGCAAAAGTATTGGGACATACCTCCAAATCATTGGATTCATGTGTTCCAATCACTTCCATGGCCACAGGTGTATAAAATAAAGCACCTAGGCAAGCATGCTGCTTCTACAAACATTTGTGAAAGAATGGGTCGCTCTCAGAAGCTCAGTGAATTCAAGCGTGATACTGTGATAGATTGCCACCTGTGCAATAAGTCCATCCATGTAATTTCCGTGCTACTAAATATTCCATGGTCAACTATTAGTGGTAGTATAACAAAGTGGAAGCAACTAGGAACAACAGCAACTCAGCTACGAAGTGGTAAGCCACGTAAAATGACAGAGTAGGATTAGCGCATGCTGAAGCGCACAATGGGCAGATGTCGCCAATTGTCTGCAGAGTCAATAGCTAAAGACCTCCAAACTTTGTGTGGCCTTCAGATTAGCACAACAGTGCATAGAGAGCTTCATGGAATGGGTTCCCATGGCCGAGCAGCTGCATCCAAGCCTTACATCACCAAGTGTAATACAAAGCGTCAGATGCAGTGGTGTAAAGCATGCCGCAACTGGACTCTAGAGCAGTAGAGATGTGTTTTCTAGTGTGACAAATCACACTTCTCTGTCTGGAAATCTGATGGATGTGTCTGGGTTTAACAGTTGCCATGAGAAAGGTACTTGCCTCACTGCATTGTTCCAAGTGTAAAGTTTGATGGAGGGGAGTTTATAGTGTGGTGTTGTTTTTCTGGGGTTGGGCTTGACCCCTTGGTTCCAGTGAAGGGAACTCTTAAGGTATCAGCATACAAGACATTTTGGACAATTTTGTGCTCCCAACTATATGGGAACAGTTTTTGGATGGCCCCTTCCTGTTTCCACATGACTGCGCACTAGTGCACAAAGCAAGGTCCATAAAAGCATGGATGAGCAAGTCTGGGGTGAAGGAACTTGACTGGCCTTCACAGAGTCCTGAACTCAACCCAATGGAACACCTTTGGGGTAAATTAGAGCAGAGACTGTGAGCCAGGCCTTCTCATCTGACATCAGTGCCTGACCTGATAAATGTGTTTCTGGAAGAATGGTCAAACATTCCCATAGACACACTCCTAAACCTTGTGGACAGCCTTCCTAGAAGAGTTGAAGCTGTTATAGCTGCAAAGGGTGGGCCAACTCAGTATTGAACTCTATGGACTGAGACTGGGATGCCATTAAAGTTCATGTGCATCTAAAGGCAGGCATCCCAATACTTTTGGAATATAATATATATCTCCATATGTATTATGTTTACAACCCATTACCAAAACGCAATACTGGAAAGAGGACCGCCTCTCTGATTACTACCCACAGGGTACTATCCGGTGCTCAGAAGTACGTAAGTATCTCCGTATGTCTGTTGCCTAGAGCTTACCCTTCACTGGCTGTGTAATAGATAAGATATACACAATAGTAATTGATAGCAAAGACTTACCACTCACTCAAACACTCACCATGAGGGTATATCAGGATATTTCCAATCCTGCTCCTCAGCCTGTGTATATAATATCAAAGGAAGAGGGTGTTGAGATGATGTGTTAGAGCCTAAGTACAATCCACACATCCAATGTTTCCAGAATGTATGGCATAAGTACAATCCACATATCATAAGTACAATGTTTCCAGAACGTATGGCCATTTAGTTCTAATGTCACACAATCTCCTTCACACTAGAGCCAAATGCATCTACAATGGTAATCAAATAAAAAATAAAAAGTTATAGTTTGGATTGCTCAAAATCACCCCCATATAGGTTTCTGGCTGATCACTTACCCCTTAACTACTATTGACAGGATCTATTCCTCCACATCGCTGTCTCCTGGTATTGGTCCACCTTGTACCACTCTCAGCCATTCCCCCATACATGTATCCCAACTGGAAACAATGCACCAATGGAATTGCCGATGTGTGACGTCATCAAGCCCAGCCACAAACACCGCGCATGTGGCATCCTCCACCCGCACATGTGCACTCCAACCCCCATCACAAACAGAGGAAGTGGAAGTCCTGACGGCTGACAGAGAGATGCACAATTGCAGCCATGAGGCCAACAACCCTGGCAAGCGCTTTTGAGTGTTAGCCACCTCACCCCGCACCTCCAACCCCAATACACACAGGGCACCCAGCAGTTCAGGCACAGGAAAGGAGGGTGCCATTTGCGGCCGCACATTCAAAACCATGCAATGCTTTGGCCAATCACAGTGCATGATCATCACAGTATTTAAGAACTGTCATCCTGGTGCAGCTGTCAGATGGTGGGAGCCAGCATCGAGAGAGTGTTTTTTTTTTTCTTTTTTCAGATCAGCATGGTGGCGGGCATTGTGATTGATGTTGGATCTACTTCAGTGGACCTCCCACAGACCCCTCACAACTACCCCACCATTCATGATTGTGGGGAAGAGACCTTTGTCCCCATCAACATGGGGACAAGGTACTTTGAGGGGCAGCTCCCCCTGCCATAAAGCACCCTCATGTTGAGAGCATGTGACCTGATATGGTTCAGGAGGGGAAGGGTGCTTGCTCGCCACCCCCTTCCTGACCTGTTGGGCTGCATGCTTGGATAAGGGTCTGGTATTGATTTTGGGGGGGCCAACTAAGAGGATGTCCAATCCACATTTGATATATCTCCAACCATGGTACAAAAACTGAAGATCATTGAAAGCTTTGCTCTGGTCTCCTATAAATAAAGGGATAAATTACAGCTGGCTAATGACTTTTCACCTCCTTGTTAAGATATACTCTTTTTCCACCTTTTCAGAAGGAGAGGCCTTTTATAAAAGTGTGGGCTTGATGTCAGGGCTTAATACTCTACCAGTTCTCCCAAAACTCACTCTCAGAAGGAACTTGAATAGAATAGACAGAGACCTGACAATCCACTTTCATCTATGTGGCACACTACCAGACTCCGTGACCAACCTCCTTAGAGTCACTCATCTTACATCCTGGAAACATTAATTACTTCTCTTTTAGCGGGTTCCTAATTTACTGTCTTTTTCACTAAAACTGGATTTTACAGCCTGCAATGAGTTGATCAGGGGTGGACTGACAGCTCATGGGGCCCCCGGGCAATAGGGGACCATGGGGCCCCTGTGCCCTTGCCCAAACCCAAAAAAGCCTATGAAAAAAGTACCAGGGGCATCTCATGGGGCCCCCTACTGACCCCGGGCCCTCAGGCAGTGCCCAAGTTTCCAAATGGTCAGTCCTCCCCTGGAGTTGATCCTGCCTTCTGAGACTAAATGTTCATGATTTTTTATTTTTTTTATTGTTCTACTTTTCTCCATTGGGCCCAGAACCCCTGTTCTCGAACTTGCTCATCTACCTATGAACACTAACATTTGCCTATTAGATAACCAATAGGAATCTTTAAAGTATGGTTCCTTGGAAACCGCATGTTATATCAGCTTGCCAATAACCTATGATATTTTGAATGATTAACTGCTATTATAAGCACACAACCTACTCCTTTCTTTACTGAGGTTTGGAACATTAAATCTTCTCTGACACTATATCAAGAAACCCTATCCATCAAGAAACAGTCATTCTCTCTACATCACTTAATGTACCTGCACATGGAAAACCAATTTACAAAAAAACTTATTAGGCCAATATGGTTCACCATTGAGTTTTGGAAGACAGCTTATCGCTCTTCAGGTCCGTGTTATTACTGTTAATATACTCTGCTAAGGCAGTTTATGGTTGACTTGTACACCCCGTGGTTGACCCTGAGACTATCTTTAATGCTGGGACCAGGATCAAGTTAGGTACCATACCCTGTCACAGCACTATCGTTTGTCTAAATTATGGAATTTATTCAATGCAAGATAGTATTTTCAGCAGTGTTATGGTTCTTATACAATATTTGTTTCCTGGCAGAAAAAAAGAAACCTCCCTTGGTGTCCTCTAACTGAGTTTCACTTCTACAAATAGTATTAGAACCCCTTAATGTCATCAAGGGAATTATCCCACAATGAGTATATATGCCAACAATAAATAGTACAACAAACATAATCCAGAGGTAATGCCATGTGCTAAATATATGAAAACACTATCACTTACTAAGTTTACATCCACATGCTGCCAGCTGTACAGATGCGAGGAGGTTCAAAAACAATCTAAAAAACAGAGAAGGGCTCAATGGATCCTCATAGTTTAGTGAATCATTTATTAGCTCAGTACATATAAAATAGACACATGATGAAAAACAAATGCAAGTCAGAGATGCCAATGCTGCTACAGAAGCCTTTTTGGTATCCAATACAACCTAGAAAACGAGGAATATTTGAACAGTTGACAAGCCAGATTTTTGGAGAAAGCAGTAGGTTTTAAATCGTCTCTCAGATGTAGAATTGTTTTGAGTGTTGGTTATTTCTTTAGGTTTGACATTATTTTTAAAGTTTACATATGATTTGGTTTGTTGAGGGTGTGGCAGTAATTTAGTTTTGTATACTATTTCTTTTTATGTGCTATGAGTTTGGTTTACCTTTTCAGCCTTATATATATACTAGTGTTAAGATCAGTGGAAGTTCTCCTCTTCCTACTAACTCAGCTGCATCCGATACTAATCAAGGCTAATGATGCATATAACACTGATGATACTCCCACCTCTATGATTAAGCCTGTGGAAGGGTGAAATGTGTCAGAGGGGCATGCATGGGAGGAGACGAGCTGAAGCCTCTCTGTGCATGAATGATTACTTGGCTGACAGCCTGTGTGTGGCTCCTCTCTCTTTTGTTGGATGGCAGGTTTTATAGTGTACCATAAATACTTTAGCTTCTCCAATCAGTTTTTATACAAACTTTTAGTACTGTGATTGTTGCACTTAGATCACTTCACACTTCAGCATTTTTCAGCTTGAAGCTCAACGCTCTGAAATTGCTCAATAAGTAAAGTCCCAATGTTTCCAATGGCCCCTGTTCACACTTAAGCATTCTGTCACCTGTAGCAAAATAGCTGTTCACTCAAAAAAGAACTTGCACTACTTTTCAGGCAGATTTGAGCATTTTTTCCCTATAGACTTAAATAGAAAATGACTGAACAGTTGGAATGAGAGATTTTCAAGCGTTTTTTTAAGGCTTTTCCATCTTAAAATTCCTAAATGAAAGAGCCTGAAAAAGCACCTAAAATATTAGCAAATCTGCTCAAAAAATGCTAAAAACCACCTGAAAAAAAAAACGCTTGAAAATACACCTGAAAAACGCTCAGTGCAGTGTGAATGGAGCCTTATGCAAATCTTTTTATGTGCTATTGGGAGAAGTTGCACATCTTTTTTTATGGTTGCCATCTTACCAGTGTTTTTCAACCTTTTTTCAGTCAAGGCACCCCTTAAAATTATGGGAAGTCCTGAGGCAACCCATTCTAAAATGTGAAAAATTATTCTAATTGTTTTATGTAATGCAGCATCATTCACACATGTAGGACACCCAATATTAGAGGTGATTTATTCTTCCAAAGCAAATACTTTTGCACACAGGTACTGACTAGTATTCCACTGTTTCTCTTTTCCTTCAGTTTTTCTCCATCACTGAGCTAATGTGACCCCAGCACTGAAGGAGAGGGGTAGGGGAGAATCAAACTAGAATGCTGTGCAGGCAAATGATATCCTCCTTATCAACTGATGTCATTGGTTGTCAGGACGCCGGTGGTTAGAAAGTGGTAATGGTGCACAATGAAAACCTGTTACT